TACGAGGCAGGCCACCGTAGCCGCCGGTCCTCATCAGCTTCTCTGGCGCGATCTTGTACTGGCTGGCGACCAGTTTGTGCACCGCGTTGTCGTCCTCGAGAAACATCTTCATCCTGATGAAGGGCTCGCGACCTTTCTGCGTCAGCATGTGCCACGGTTTCGGACGCGCCAACAGGTCCGACACGGAACCCTGCGACAGGCCAAGCACAGACTCTCCGAACAGACGCTGCGAGATCGAGTACTGAGACAACTGCTCCTTCACCTGCGAACACGAGCGAAAATTGATTTTTCATTTTACTTTATTCCATCAATCGGATGCTTGAAAGCTTTGTTGGATTCGAAAGCTTTCAACATCTGTCGACGTACATCGATTGCCGTAGAAAAATTAAGGATCAACCATTTGAAGTGTAAATTGCAATCAAGTAATTATTGGGATATTTTGAACATCAAATTTACGTAATTTGCTAAAAGATGATGCAATTCATTCGAAGATGTCTCGTAAATACGATGACAAATCAAACGCAACGCAGAAGGAATCGAATCGAATCGTCGATCCGTAATGTTCGAACAGGCAGACTCGAGGAAGTCTTCTCAACCATCTCCGAACGACACTACCAACTTACTATCCGACTTACTCTCTTAACAATGTCCTCTGTGTTCAAGTTATTGTACATGTCGAACTGTTGCTGAGTGATGGGAGGAAGCACAGCTTTGAGCGGCCTCTGGTTGGCCGCGTGGTGGGTAGGCGTGGACGGTTGACTGATCAGACTGTTCGTGATAGAGGCCATCCTCTGAAGAGGACTGGCCGCTGCTGCACCCGAGAATTCCTCGCTAGGTGTCATCGCTGGTGGAAGAATCGAGTTGCCGAGCGGTGAACTGGCGCTTGATCCACCTGGCGTCGATTGGGGTGCAGTGGTCGGCTCCTGTTTCGGCCTGACCAACGAGAAAGCGCTCCCCGCGTGTCTCATCGCTTCCTCCATCTTCTCTTTCTCCTCTTCCGACACTCCGTTTATCATCTTGCTCCTCGGATCGACTTTGCCGAGGCTTAGATCTTGAACGCCACCGCCGCCGCCTCCGCCGCCTCCACCGCCTCCGCCGCCGCCGCCGCCGTTCGTCGCCAGATGGTGTTGTTGAAGCGCCTGCTGCTGAAGTGCCAGCAGGCCAGGTAGACCGGGCAGTCCTGGCAGTCCGGTCAACGAGGGATTCTGACCTGGCGTCGCGTTCAGCTTCTGAAGTTCTCGATGGTACGCGTCCAGCGCCAGCCTGATGTCCTCCTGCGTCCGCTCTATACCCTGAAGACCGCCCTGCGCGCCGCTGAAAAAGTACGGGAACATCGCGCTACAATTAATCGAGGTCACGTGCTGTCCTCAATAATGATCAATCGTGGCGGCAATCGCTTGACAATAGCTGCCTCCTGTAATTCGAGCCTTCGGCTACGGAGGAAAGCTCGTGTTTACACCTGACATTTTCGTGTTAAGCAACGAAACAGATATAGCCTAGGCATATTAATTTTAGCCGCATACGTCATCCGTTCGGCATAGTTCTCTCTCTCTCTCTCTCTCTCT